TAAAAAATCAACAAGCCTGAATCTAACGGCTATAGTGAAAGCTATTGCACCATTCATCCTAGTAAGTTTTCACGGGAAAATGTATAGAAAGAAATAGTTTTTTTTTTTTACTAATAAGATTTTGAAAGCAGAACGCAGAAGCAGCGCAAAATCAGAAAAACTAAGCATATCGCGGTGAGAGGAAACAGACGGAGGGACAGCACTGAGACAGCAAGTCTGGCGGCTGGTTTAACGAAGAGGGGAAGAAAAGCAGAATGATAAAAGCGGTCTATTAAGAACAAAAAACAACAACAAAAAAAAAAAAACAGGAAATAATCACGAATGAATGCGATGTCTTTTTATAAAGACTTGAATTATGGTGGTCTACGGACAGTTTGTCAGCCATGTCCAATAACCCAATCTGACTCCATTCTTCTTCATCACACTCATAAGAAAATAGCTTGGTTTATTTCAGCTCTTAAATTACTAGAAAGGTAATTATTTAAATAACCCTAACTACCTTACTGACGTCTTTACTTTAATTATTTGCTTTCAGTCTAAATACATAGATGAGTTTTGTGGTAAGCGCAAATTGAAAAATTCAAATACCTTCCTATTAGAAACAACCTGCTGTCCCCATTTACAAACGAGATAGACGTTTATGACTTCAAAACATGATTTCGAAGTTATAAGCGCCAATGGAACAACATGGCTCTGAGAATCATAATGCATCATCATTGCTAAGTTTCGATGGAGTTTGATGTAGCTAAGACACCAAATCGCCAAGTTCAGTTAGCCGGATTTAGCCATAACACTTCAACCTCTTCTAATGCGGAAAAAAAAGGATATTAACATTATTTAGGACGCCATCATGAAATTTCCAAAACAACTCCTTCCTTGAGCCGTGTAAACATATACGTACAGACACAATGTTTGCAATCGAGGGCCGTTTCCCACACATGTAGACCGAGGGGTTTTGTTTCATGTAATTTGGTCTACGACAGACACGGAAAAAATAACGAAGAAATCAACTCCAGGTGAAACGAAGCAATTCTACTGTTAGTAGAAACAGCCGTGAAAGACGCGCGCACGGTTTGGGGGAACTTTAAAAACACCCGCCTGTTCCTACAGCATTTCTCATTCTCCCAAATTGAACTTTCAGTTGTGTTTCTATAATCACTATAGAACACGGAAAATATTTTCTATTTCTGAATCAATCAATGACCAATATAAAGAACAGC